GGGCAGAGGGTTTGGGCCGCCCTGCGGCATCGGCCACGGCCACGGCCACGGCCACGGCAGTCGCCAGCGGAGCTGCGGGCGGCGGCGGCAGGCTGACTGCGGCCAGGCTGAGCTGCGCTGTGACGGCAGCGGCTCGCTCGCTGCAGCACTTCTGCTGTATGCCTGGGGTTTTGTTGGATAACTTTGAGCCTCATTTCCACACTGGATGATTTTGACTAATTACCTTTGTCCTTAAATCAGCCAGAGTTAGCTTATTGTTTTATGTCGCCTGAAACTAAGAACCGGGTTAATGCACTTTTCCATTCTGCCATACTTGTATCAGCTTTGACGTCAGGCGAGGGTTCCTCGTGACCTCATGGTAGCTCAGGCTGTTGCAGGAATTACAGGCGAACGTGATAACCCCAGAAGGGGAAGAAGTCACCTGCAGTTCTCTCAGGAGGGGAGGCCCCTTTACTTCAAGCTGCTTAGCACATTTTCCTCTCACTCCGCATCTGGCACCAGTACGTATCAGCAGTCAACTGTCAGCCACAGATAAAGTTGCTATGAAGAATAAATGAGACAATGTATGTAGAGCTTTTCACACTGTACCTGGCATACTTGAAGCTTTCAAATGAAAACTTTTAATACTCACAACAAAATCTCTTGGGAAGCTTTGTAGAGTATATTCAACTCAGGATTCACCCCAGATCTGCTGAAATACATATTTAGATGTGGGGCCTAGTTATCAGTATTTTAAAACCTTCCTCAGGAGAGTCTCAATATGTCCTTGGTTAAGAATCACTGAAAAGGAACGATTGTAGCATTTTGACCTGAGGTGTTTTTTCCAGGTGTTTTATCCTTTACCTAAGTGAAATCTCCTACCACTTCTTAACATGGGTTAATGTTAAATGTTGGCAAGTTAAAGACCAAATAGTAAAAGATACCTGTCCTCATAAAGAGCTGTTGAAACCACAGGAAATAAATGCTTGAGTTGCCCTTAAACTGGGCTTTTGCTACTCCTCAGTGATAGGTGAGCTGTGTTTTCTGGTTCTTCTGAGTTACTCAGCTCAGTGGTTTTTAACGCAACTGGTACCTTTTTAATTGACTGACATTACTGTTCAGGGTTTCACCTGGAGATCTAGTGCAGGTAAGGGGAATCTTAGTGCCAACCGGAAAAAGTGCATTTCACTTTGCTTCAGGCGCGAATAGCCCTGTACTCCCTGCTGGTCACGACATAAGAAAAAGGTGATTAAAGTCAGTTCTACATTTAGTGGAAAACACAGTAAGGTGAAAATGGATAGAAGGACGAGCATTCACATCAAAGGATCTTAAGTTTGGAGATAAGAGGCCCATGTGCAGGGCAACAGGTGTTCACACAGGGGTAGGGGAGTGATCAAGGCATAAACCAGGTTGTGAGTTAGGGGTTAGTGGGTTAGAAGTTAATAGGAAATGGTTACAGCAACCCTAACAAGTTCTATTACAATTTTTTTTCAAATTAAACATGAAGAAAAAGAAGGTGATTATCTGAGAAGAGGAAGCTTCTTTTTTTTCCCCCCCTTAAGATGTGAGAAGCTGAAGGATGCTTAAAGGCTCCTGACAAGGATTCATTAGAGAGGTAGCGATGGCAGATACAGAATGCCAAAAGAATTATTTTTAGAAGCAGTGCTGGGAAAGGTTGGAGGAGCAGGGGTGCGGAGTGCCTTGGAGGGATGAGTCTAAGCTGGGAGGAGCAGAACCCCTCTTCAGGTCACTGTGTGTGATGCTCTTAGATTTTGTTTTATGTGAAGTTGAGGGAGTGTCTGTATGGCAGCGTGTATTTTCCCTGTGAGGTAGAGTGAGAGATCATTTGTGGAGACCACAGGAAGAGGTAAGAAAACTTAGGATTTCAAGACACTGGAGAGAGTTTGAAATATCGTTAGGATAATGGGGAAAATGTTACCCAGAGAAAGGTAGTCCGATAAAGGGCAGTGTTGAGGGCTCAGGTGAGGAGAGGACCACAAATTTATAGTGACATCAGTCTGCCCTGTAATCTGTTCTGTGATTTCCTCCAGCAATACTCGGGTCCCTGAGGGCAGGCAGTGAGAGATGTATATTTGGGTTTGTGCAGGTTTGACAAAAGAATAAAAGGTCAGGTGTAGGGTGCACAAGCAGGTTAAGGACGGGAGTGAAAAGCAGAGTAGGGAGAAAGACAAGAAGAAAGAGGAAACACTTCCGTGATTCAAGGGGAGAGTAGCTGTGCAGAGAGAAATGTGGAAAACTGTAGTTGGAGAGTGAAATACTTGAATGCATGATTTTGCAAGTGATGATCAGATTCACAGTATGCTTATGGGAATGAGGGGTTGAGGTGTCACTAAAGGTGAGGTGGTCAGGAAACCAAGTGTTGTACCTTAAAATCTCCAAGGATAATTTAAGACTTGGGCTGGAAATGAGGGTTGCTAGATAAGACCTAACTGAAAACTGGTAAATGAGGGGAAAGGTCTAGGAGGTGGGTAGATGACCACGATGAGGAAGGCTGGAGCATATTATAGTCAAAAAATGTGAGCCTCCAAGGGGCAGATAAAAGTAATAGTCTGGAAGTGAAAATAAGAAACATGGATGATTCTGAATTACTGCTGGACTTAAGGTACAAGGGATGTGTGAGGATAAACAGCTTCACCTTGTTGGCTGTTTATCACCTTTTACAGTTTTCAACATCAGAATCTACAGCAAAACTCTTGGCATCTCTTTCACTTTAGGGGAAAGTTACTTCCTGGTGGGAAGTTGGGTTTCAGTTCAAATGAGGAGGTGGCATGTCCTTTCTTTCTCCTCCTCTACATCCTGTCTGCAGGTAATCACATCCACTCCTGTGGTTTCAATTAAAATGTAACTGATGACTCCCAATACTAGATCTCTAGCGCAGGACTGTTTTTTGAGCCCCCTCCAGGTACGTATAACCTGCTGCTTACTGGGCTTCTCCATTTGATGTCCCGCTGGCATCTCAAAGTCAGCATTTCTAAAGCTGAATTCATTCCTGGCTTTTCTTTCCTTCAATATTCCACAACTATACAGTGTCATACTGTCAGTCCAGCTGCCCACACCAGAATCCACACCAAAACCCTCAGCACCTTTTTCATCTCTCCATCCAGTCTTTCATCAAGACTTGCCAGTTCTATTTCCCGTTTAATCGCAGTGCCACCACTTCTAATCTGGGACAAAATTTCTTTTTTTTTTTTTCCTGAATTACTTCATCAGCCTTCTCATGGGTCTTTGCAGCTAGATTTACCCCAATTCGATTCTCCACACTACAGCCAGAGTGATATTCCAAAAAGATGAATCGGATCATGTTACTATCCTGCTTAAAACTGCCTGTGGCTTCCCATTGTCCTTAAGATAAAGTCTAAAGCAGCAGTGTCCAATAGAAATGTGAGAGCCACCAATATAATTAAAAATTTCTAGTGACCACATTACGAACATGAACAGGTAAAATTATTTTTAATAATTTATTGAACCCAATATTTCTAAAATGTTACTATTTTGATATATAATCAACATCACATGTGAGATGTTTTACATTCCTGTCTTTGTACTAAGTCTTTGAAATCTAATGTGTATCTTACACATAGAATTTGTTTGTTCAGACTTATCACATTTCAAGTACCCAAGAGCCCCAAGTGACTAAAGGCTACTGTATTGGATAGTTATACTCTTTAAACCAATATACCAACTCTTACCTTATCTGGCTCCTCATGGTTTCCTTTTCAGCCTTTTTTTTTTTTTCCCCTCATACACTTTGTCCAGCCATATTCAATTATGTTCTGTCAGAGCTCTGGGTTTGTACTTGTGGTTCCCTGTCTAGAATACAATTCCTCTACTTAAGTTTTAGCTTAAATTTTCTAGAAAGTGAGTCTGCAGCAGAGACAAGTCAATTATTCCTTTACTAGAGACTTAAGCTCCAGGGAGCGGCAGTGAGAGACAGGAGGGTGAAACAGGAGGAGGAAGGGAGAGCCAAGCAAAGATGTGCGGTGGAGTCTGTTCAGGGAACCCTATGACTCCACTTGTGCTGGACGGCCCTCTAAGAAGCTAACCCCTCCCAGGACAGTCCACAGGCATGGGGAGAAGGCAGTCTTTATCCACCATCCTCCCTTTTGCACTGGTCAAAGGTTCACCTCCCCAGCTTTGAAATCCCCCACACGTCAGGTTGCACATAGTCACTGAGTGAATCCTGAGGGACCAGCAGGGAGGCCCCGTGTGGAAGCTGGGAGACAGGCAGGGCTGAGGGGAAGCAGTTTGAGGCTGCTGTGGCGTGAAGTAGAGCAGAGCCTGCCGAGTGAGTGCTGGTTGTCTCTGTGGCAAATGGAATAAAAGCTGGATGAGGCTGAGAACATCTGAAATTGTGCATAAGAGGTTCTGACACATTAGGTAACCTCTACCTATCTCATGGAGATCTGCGCACGAGCTACTCCTCAGGGAAGCCTTCCCTGATCCTCAGACAAAACTAGGTCCTTCCAGTATGTTTTCATGGCCTCCCACACTTTCCTGTAATGAAACTCATCATACTTCTTTTTCCTGTAACCTGTGGTAGTGATTTGTCTTCCCAATGAAACTGTTAAGTTCTCTGAGGTCAGCTTCGTGACTGGCTTTTACCATGAGATTACCCCACCTCCTGCTTTGCACACAGCCCTCTCCGTGATGGAGCGGAGGGACTCAAGAAGTCCTTGTAGCATGAATGAATGAAAGTTTGAGTTAGTAAAACATCGTATGTTTCTTCAGAGCAAGCCTCTTGGGCAGGAGTACTTTCAGAATATAAACTGATTACTGAAGGTTAGTTTGCTTTGTGAAGCCTCTCATGGGCTGTCAGGCTTGTAACCTGGGATAGTGACTTGAGTGGAACGTTCACTCTGACCAATGAGACTCTATTCTTTTACGTTCACTTGTTTTGCAAATTTGTTGGGTTAGAAGTGCAAATGAAAGCTCTTTTTTTTTTTTTTTAAATCACTGCTCTTTGGCACATTCTAATGAGGGCCACAGCTTCTGAGTTGTTGCTTCAGCATTCGCATCTAATGTGAAAGAAATTGAAAGCTAGAAGGAAACCTCAGGGCTTCCAGAAAAGCACGTCCGTCAGGCAGTGCTCTGTCCTGTTCTTCAGCTGTGCCTTCAGTGAGAAAAGGCTCTGACTACTGCCTTGTGCCCTGTGAGGAAAGCTGGGTGAAGGAGATGTGACAGAGGGAAGCAGCGTCACCTTGCTTTCCAAGCTTCTTTGTGCCGTCTTCAGTAAATTTATATCGCAGGGAAGTCATGCTGCCTGCTAATGATATTCCCACCTGGCGACCCCGTCATGAGGGATGTCCTTGAAGCCAACTCACATATCCTAGCCAATTCTAAACCTATTAAATATTCAGTATCTTTCTTAGAACTAATAAAACTAGTGGGAGAAATAAAATAGACCTTGCCTTTACCTAAGGAACCATTCAGTCAGAATTTTTATGACAAATAAGGGATTGAGAGCTAAGTAGAATATTGAGAGCCTTGAAATGCATATAGAAGTGATTCAAACCTAAAATTGCCTGAAGTGACTCTCACCTTATCCTGAGAGGAATGGCATATGAAGCAGTCACTTCTTTAGCTGGGTAGGTTCATTTGCCCAGCAAGGGTATCGTATTTTATTCTTTACGTGTTTTGAATTTTAAATCAAAACAACAAAAACAAATTAAAAAAAAAACTTACTGAAAGCAATGATCAAAAAAGTATTGAACTTTTTTCTGAATGCTGCAGAAAACTGAGATTGTAAAGTGGGAGTCACTATCTCATGGATGAAAAGATAAAACAACAGTAATTCCCAAAATAAAGTGCAAATAGACTATAGGACTTAAAATTTTATCAACTAGTGTTAAGTTATTAAGTGGGAAAAGGTTTTCCCCTCTTTGCAAGGTCATCAGGACTGAGCAGTCTCACTACGAGTATGGAACCAACATATCTTCCCTGACTCAGCCATTTAGCAGGTGCTCAGGAAGTATTACTGACCGGCTTACTGGCTCAATGGTGATGTTTATAAAAGTAACCCAAAAAGCAAATTCCCAGATAAGGAATTTCAGTTGTTAACAGTGTTTTTATCTGGAATGGTTTTATGAGATCTTACTCTAGACAGCCTTGAGAATGAACATCCTGTCCCCAGGATGTCCTCATGGACTATGAATAAGAGTGTGAAAAGATAAAAAATCCTCATTTTAATATTGGTTGTCACACACTAAAAAAACTCGCATTCTTGAGAGTTCTAAGGGAAAACATCCTTTTTTTTTCTCTTCAGAAGGAAAATGTATTTTATTTTAAGATATAGGATATTTATTATGCAGTAAAGTTTGGGATACAAACATCACTGAGATTCAAATGCAGGTCGTTTGGCTTTGAGCCTCACGTCTGGGTGAAGACAGAACAGCTCTGGCATCCTCTACCTACGAAGACACGGGAGGCTTGTTTTCTGTGCGACAGACACAATGCTGAGTTTCTTGTGAAAGTATTAGAGCATGTAAAGTGCCTATTTTGGACTGTGTAGCACATGGTTAGTATTTGATAGTAGTAATGTTAATGATTGTGATTGGTGATTATTGTTTCTTAGTAGGGGGAGAAAAAGGACCAAAGTGTTCTGTCCTCTGTCGTTAACGCCACGTGGCATTTGCTGACTGTAACGCTCCCATTTCCTTTGCATTAAGCAGATGACAGGTGTAGTGCTGCAGGCTTCATGAACATGACATCCTGTGATCCTCACGGCAACCTGAGGGGGAGGCGCTACTCTACTCATTGCTGTGTGAATGAGAGAGAGGCTCAAGGAGGTAGTGAGACTCGTGAAAGGCGCAGGGCGAGTAACTAGCCTGACTCCAGAGAGTATGAACTGATATTCCCACCTGGGACCCCATCTGGAGGGACGTACCTGGGCTCTGCCCCCTTGGAGACTGATTCAGTAGTTCTGCGTTTTTAACAAGTTCCCCTGGAAGATTTTGAAATGGAAGTCACGTAGAGTGGAGTTAAAGTAGGAAAATAGTTTTATCTAATTCTCTGATCATTTATTAATTAAATATCATTGAGGTTCTACTATGCAGTAAGCATAGGTGTGCAAAAATTAGACTGGTGGCGTCTAAATGCGCCTCTCTTGGTGTTTGGGGTCTGTAATCTCCACAGAGAGAGCACAAAGTTATTTAAAGCCAGCAGCATTCTGTTAGAATCCAGAGTATGAATAGCAGGATCAGTTGTAGCCACCTGATTCATAAGTCTTTTTATATTGTATCTGGAGGAGTTTTTCCTAAATGAAGACAACTCAAAGCTATATTTAGATAACTTTATGAATAAACTTCTGGTGACTCACATCACTTTTTTCTTCTCAAAGCTCGATCAAGAGAATAATGTGTTGCATTCAGGATAACCTGAATCAGACCACTTCCACGGATCTGGCTGAGAGAACAGGCTGTCGTATTTAGATCTGGTTTTCTCTCTTGGCTTTGTCCCAGCGCTAACTTCACATTTCTTGTTTTATGCCAGCTTGTGCAAGGATATAACGGCCTGGAGTTTTTAGTCCCAGCTTTTGTTTCTGGGTTTGAGAGTTGTCTATAAACATGATTGTGATCCCTTAGGTTCTTAGGATCCTGCTACCATATGGTTACCTAAGAGGGGCCTTTTCTGTTCTTCCTCCCTCGGCTTTTGAGCCGAGTTCCTGGTGTACTCCCGGGGGCGTACCTACCACGTTCTCTTCTCTGCCCAGGACGACACGAAGGGTCAGGTCCACTTGATTCTGTGACTTCAGGGGCATCTTGCCAGTCCCCGTGTTATTCAATAAACATCCTCACACTTGAAGAGAGAGCTTAAAGCTTGAAAGGTACGGGATATATTACTACAGCAAAATCTAACCTCTTTGAAAGTATGTTTTTCCATTACCAAGAAAAACATAAAGTGAGAATATATAGATTTAAACTAACTTGTCATTTCAGAAAAAGTTTGCATCTGTGCCAAGAGAAGCATTAAATTGCCTTAAATTTGACTTTCTATTTTCTTATCCAGAGAGATGTCATTGAGATTCATTGGTCCCTGAATCAATTTCTGTGTTTCTTTACTTCACATTTCCCCACTGCATCCTCTAGAATGGTCTCCACACCAAAGACAGTCACAAATTTTATTGACCCACTGACTGACTTTTCAGAACATGACGCAGGCTGACAGATGTTTGACCAGCCAGCTAGGGACTGTACACCACTGGTAGAAATTATTAACTTGCAGAAATCAATAGCTTGAGTATGCCACAAGCACTTACTTTCAAGTACAGGTTTTATAGAAAGGAATCCTATGAATTTACTTCAGATGGAGGAACAATTTACTTTTCATTACTTTATTTTATAAACATGAACTTTATAGTTTTCATTGCCATCTTTTTATTGCTTCAAAACACACATTTTATGTACTGTTGACATAAAATTAGCTATACTCCCAGTTTCTTAGTGCTCTAAAGCACAATGAATTTGAGATAGACCGGTCAGGTTTTCTGATCTCTTCAAAATTCTTTATTGTGAAGAGTGGGAGTAGTGTTAGAAGGGTAAAGACAGGTAAATGCTCTTCAATTTTTCTTAAGGGATAAGAAGTTTTCCATAAACTATAATCTGGGCAAAGAAATGATCCTAGGTAAGATTTTGGAATGAATGATTGAAGAAATGGTTGACGAACATTTAGCAAAGGAAGCAGTGATTCCTAGAGGTTGGTGTATGTTTATTAAGAAACATTATCAAACTAATCCAGTTTCCTTCTTTGTGGGATTATTAAATCCGTAGGTCGGGGAGTGCACAAAGCAGTGTATCTGAGCTAAAGCAGGGCATTGACCAAAACTTTCAAAATTCCTTTGGGTTAATATCAAGGATGATAAGCTGAGTGTTAATGATTTTAGGTGAATGCTTGAAAGGTTATATTCAGAGATGATAATCAGTGTCATCAGGCAGTTTTCATAAAGGCATACTTTATGGCTCTCTCCTTAACCCTTTTCTTTTTTTAGTGACTGACAGAGGCAATATAGTGGATTATAGTTACAGTGATTAGGGCTCAGACTGAGATCAAATCCTGCTTCCACCACTTATTAGAATGTGATCTTGGGCAAGTTACTGAATCTTTGGAAGCCAGTTTCCTTATCTTTAAAATGGTGAGGGTAATAGCATCTGCCTCATTGGATTAAGTGGGGTAAATAACGTGAAGTGGTCATCAAAGCACTAACACATAACATGTTTGCTCCAAAATGTTACGTATTGTTGTTAATTCTGACTACTTGCATGTGGGTATAGAATTCCAAATCATCAAACTTGGGAGTAGAATAAGCTAGAAGAAACAGAACAGACACTGTCTGACAGGATTTTGCCTGACGGTGGATAGTCACACTGTACCCTTACCTGCTCTCCTTAAATCCTAGTATCCATATTTTTCTAAGACAGGGTGACATTTAACAACATGAAGTATTATTAGGAATTGATTTCGGGCCCTGAATGCATATCCCCAAACTCACATGGCCAAGTGTGTATGTAGGATAGATAAAAAGGATGTGCAAAAAATATTTAAGTTCTAATGACAAGAAAGCTCAGTATGAGTTAGGAGTATGATGTAATCACAAACAAATGAGCAGTAACAGAAATCAGGGCTGCATTAATACCAGCATGTTGCTACCTAGGTTTGAGAATACAAAGGCTACTGGTTATGCCATTCTCGAAGTGTTCTGTTTCATTCTTGAACACCACAATTTAAGTGACAGAGGTAATCTGGAGTGTGTTCAAAGAACACTGTCTGAAATGGCAGAAGAACTCAACATAATGCCACAAAAGGAATATTTGAAGTTGTAGCATTTTAACTTGGAGCCAAGGACACATGGAGGGCTTAAACTGGCTTTTTTCAAAACTGTTAATTTACTGATTTAATGAAAGGCTTTAAAAAAAATAATCCCCAATACATTCAATTCAAGGTTAAGTATCACATTTGTAGCACATTGTTGAGTGTCTTTACAAGGATGTTCGTCACCCGTGTACTCCCATCATGACATCACTTTTCTGAGCCTCTGCAATACCTGGTTGGGGTTGTTTTCGTGGACACGTGCAGATGGTTTAAAAGTGCATGTTATTACTGGTTCTGTTGTCCAGAGATGTCCCCATTCCCTCCCCTCCACACACATTGAGAAGTTATTAAAAACGTCGAGTGGCTCTTGTTACAGTAATGAGCTCCCTGTTACTACACTATGTTCAAGTTCAGACTAAGCGACCATTTTGAAACTGCAGAGATTTAAAGTTAATTTGGGTTAGTGGATCATATCACCTATAATACCTCTTCCAATCATTTTGTTCTAAAATGTGAGCTAATCATAGTGTTTATTTTAACCATCTCATATTTCACATCTTATGTTGGGGATAGGTTGAAGGGATAGAGGGAAAAAATGTGTATTTTGGCCCCATTTTAGATGAGAATTAGGTGTGAGGCTCTCTGGTCTATAAGCTTCCTATTTTACCTGATTTTTAAAGTATGTAGATTTATCATCAGTAATTAAGGAGTGAGATGATTCTTTGTTGAATATGGCCAATTTTTCAAATTCTGGGAGCAAATTTTGCATCTTGCGTGAATTTTCTTTTATAATCAAGAGGTCTAATAATAATACCATATTTTACATTCATTAGGCACATTAACTTTTATACATGTATTTTCACACACATTATCATATTTAAAAATTCTCCCAGCTGACTTCTTAAGCAGATAATGAAACTGAGACTCAGCATAATGATTGCTGGAAGTTTCATAGCTAGCAAGGGGCAGAGCCAGGACCAAACTCTCATTCTTCTCCCCTTTAATTATTACTTTTTTCTTTGAGTTAACGTTTTTAGATGTCAGCAATTTTATCAGTGAGAGGAGACTTTTCCCGTCAGTTGGAGAAAATTGCCTTTTCCTTTTAGAGTGTTTTTGCTTTACTGCGAAGTGTATTTGTAGAACAATGGCAGCTTCAAATGTCATGTATTTCAGGTGCAGAAAGTGCGCCGTACTTGAAGTGATGTCATGATGTTTGCCCGAGGAAGTGGATGTCACTGCTGGGGTTATGGGGGCTGTGAACTAAGCCAGACCCAGAAGGCTCCATGGGCAGGCTGGTCAGATATGTGAGTCATGCCAGGCCCTCTAGGGAGGAAACCCGGGTAGCCTATACCTAAGAAAGATGCCAGAAATAATGATCCTGCGTGAGTGAGTTAAGAAAGATCATCAGTGGGCAGAGGGACTAGGATGAGTATTGTACCGAGGACATCTGGTGGCAGGGATGTGATCTAACCACAGAGACTGACTCAGAAACTCAGCCTGGACTGTGAACAGTGGGGCCCAGATAGTGCAGTGGGAATCGGGAATTGAGGAGGAAAGGTCAGAGAGGGATCGGTGCTGAAATTTACCTGAATTGAGACCCTCAGCTTGGAAAGGAGTCCCCCAAAACATGAAGAGGTTTTGGTGTGATGAGTGAGGGCTGTATGACATCAGCAGCAGGATGGGAAGAGTGCAGGGTCAGGGGGTTAGAAGGACCATTAGAGTCAGAAAACAACAACAGTTGATGGAGATGGATTTTTGGACTTTTACATTGTTTCTAAAATATTCTTTCTAATATTAAATAAGGAAATAGTTTACCTCCCCCTTACACCCCCCCCAAAAAAAATCCAAGTTAAAGCTTAAATGGGAAAATACCAGGGAAAAAGCAGGCAACATTGAAATGTCTTTTTCTTTTTTTAAATAAAATATTTTTTTCAACTTGAAAGTAATACATGAACATGGCAAAATACAAAAATATTAAAGTAGAGGCTTTTCTAGTTTCAAATTCAGATAACAAAACTAATACAGAGGTTTTCCAAATTTATGGCTTACAAAGTACTGTAATTTCCTTAAGTTGACAGCTGAGCATGCAAGAAACAGAAATCTGCAGCTGCCGTAAATGAAGAGGAAAATGAAAACCAGAGCAGGATACGTGAGCTAGGGCCACGTGTGCTCTGTCGGGGGGGCCACACACAGGACACGGGGCTTTCTGCCTGAAGAAGGCAGAGTGGAACTGAGATCCCAGCAGTGAAATGTACTCAGGAAAATTACCAGGAATCTTATCTCTGCCTGGTTATGGGTGACAAAAAGTCTTGCCTGAAAAATCTAAACCTCAAGTCTATGTTTTAAACATAATCCCCTTCCTACAGATTGATTCTACCAACCTCATAAAACACCAGGAGGAGAAATTTTAAGAAGCATAAAACTACCATGAGTTTTTGGCATACATTTTCTATATAAATATAAATACATACACAATATAAAAATAACATTCTTTGGCCAGTTTCAGTGTTCAAAGGGGACAGTTGCAGATCTGTTAGAGGCATGGCTCTTATTGTAAACTCTCAGGGCTCCTTGAGAATAGAGGGGTGTATGTTTGTAGAGGTAGTGTTTTCCTTTTTTATTATTTTTTTGTTGGTGGGGGTAGGTAGTTAAGTTTGTTTATTTTTGGAGGAGGTACTGGGGATTGAACCCAGGACCTTGTGTATGCTGAGCATGCACTCTACCACTTGAGCTATACCCTCCCCACCTGAAGAGGTAATGTTTGAGCTATTTTTAGTGTTTCAAAATATGGTTCTGTACTTCAAATGGTTTATTTACCAGAGATAATGATGAATGGGCTATTAAATAGAATTTTTAAAATAATAGCCAAATTATAGCAAAACATTGGTTTCAAGGGAAAATATTTATTTAAACATTTACTGAAGAGTCAAAAGCTTTTAAATAACGAATTAGTTGATAACCAGAATTTTTAAATGCCAACACAGGGAAAATCCTATGGTCTCTCTATCATGAAAGTTAACAGCACACAGAGTCTCTGAGCAGTATAAAGGAAGCTGCTAGGTTTGAAGAGTTGAAAATAATACAGAACTATATAAAATGAGTAGTGAGTTGATAATAGAGTTATAGCCATCATCCCTGGAGCTACAGTATTGTACTATTCCCACGCCGAAAGGTCCACCAATGAGCTGTCACTCAGTGGTTGAGTCCATACCACGCCTAGTACTATCACCGGACAATGAAATCTGGCTAGTGTCAGGCATGCCTAAGGCTCCCTTACCTAGCTTATCCTCTGCTCCTTTTTTGACAGCTCCAGAATGGAGTTTATTTCCTTCATTTAATGGATTTGTCATAAACCTTAATTGAATCTTCCAGATAAAAGAAATGGAGGACAACTTCAATAGTCTAGCTTGTAGCCCCGCTAGATTCCTCAAGACCCACATATCAATCCAGGCACTCAGAAGATGGGCTGGGATAATTGCAAATCATCCTTATCAGGTCCAAAGTATAAATCCTTTTTGGTCTTTCTAAAGGTTCAGACTTACGATTTTTAGGAAGGAAAAGGATTTCAGTAAAAGAATTTGTAGTTGGAGGATTAAATTCTCTAACCATTTTATGTTTTCCCTGAAAGAATATCAGATAACATTTAAGAATGAAATTTACTATGCATACTCCTTAGGCAAAAACATTTTGCCAATACAACATAATCACTTTTTTGAAATGACAACCAATACATTTCAGTTTATTTTTAGAGTATTTTTCAAGGTTAGGATAACAAATACATGTGTACTCAAGATATCATTTTCTTAATCATATAAAACTTTAAAATTGGGCAGGGTTTTTCAGATATTTAACTGCTGTTAAAACACACAGAGGCCATTTTATTGTTCAGCCCCAAGTGTCTTATCAGATATTTTTATGAACTGGTAAAAGAGGATTTTAAATGTGTATATTAGGATTTAAAATTCTATCAAAAATCACCTGCACCTGAAAATCCAGTACAGTCTATTTCTTTACTGTGGTCAATATTTTTTTCTTATTATGAGTAAGAAGGAAAGTAGAAGAAAAATTAGAGCTTTATAAAATGGACTATTTCTATAAAGTGCTTGTTTATTCAGTCTTAGAAATCTTGTGTATAATCAAATCGGTTGTATTTTTGACAGTTGTTTCCCAAGTCATACTATGCAAAACCAAGATTTCTGGGGAGGATGGGGGAAAAAAACTATAGAGAAATACTAGTTTTCTAGCAAAACAGTGATGATTGATGTGGAAAATTGTAACCTAAAGATATAAGGTTATTTTGCTCTTATTTATGAATTTCTGAATAGGCAATTTCATTAGTGCCCTTCTGCTTCAAATAAAACAGCTGTGCAAAACATTCAGTTTTGAGAACAACTTCCCCGCTGTTTAAAAGAAATCCATCTATCATAGTTTTGGTACTTTTACATTGTTTTTAAAGTAGACTCCTAACTTTACGATTGAGGTATCTCGTTTCTGTCCTTTACTCATGTGGGCCCCTGAGCTTTCACTTTCTGTTTTCCTATTTCTCTAGGAGCTTTTGAAGTTGTTTCTAAGCAGAGGTATCTGGATATTTTAATAAAAGTATGAGTTGATAAGACTTTTTAAAATTGGAGTATAATCTGTTACAGTGTATCAATTTCTGGTGTACAGCATAATGTCCTAGTCATGCGTATATAGACATATATTCATTTTCATATTCTTTTTCGTTAAATGTTATTAGAAGATATTGAATATAGTTCCCTGTGCTATACAGAAGAAATTGTTTTTTATATATTTTTATATATAGTGGTTATCATTTGCAAATCTTAAACTCCCAAATTTATCCCTTCCCACACCCTTTCCCCCAGTAGCTCTAAGATTGTTTACTATGTCTGTGAGTCTGTTTCTGTGTTGTAGATGAGTTCTTTAGTGTCTTCTTTCTTTCTTTCTTTCTGTCTTTCTTTCTGTCTTTCTTTCTGTCTTTCTTTCTTTCTGTCTTTCTTTCTCTCTTTCTTTCTCTCTTTCTTTCTCTCTTTCTCTCTTTCTCTCTTTCTTTTCCACATATGAGTGATATCATATGGTATTTCTCTTTCTGGCTTACTTCACTTAGAATGACGATCTCCAGGTCCACCCATGCTGCTGCAAATGGCATTACTTTATTTGTTTTTATTGCTGTGTAGTATTCCATTGTATAAATAGAAGACTTTTTGTAATGCTTAACTATGCTTCACAGCTGTGCCCTCTTCCTTGACTAATTACCCATTTTGCCTGGCTAACTTCTAACTATTCTTTCTCACCTTAGCTTCTGCTTCCCAGTCAAAAAGCCATTCCTGACCTCTTGTCCCTGGATGAGGCATCCCTTCTAACCCCTTCCATAACCCCTCATATCATTGTACACCACACTCTATTAACTGTTCCCTTCTCTGGACCCCACACTCAGGGCATCAGTGCAGCCCAGTGTGTAGCATAGTGCTGGGCACATTCCCACTTGAAATGAAAACTCAGTTTCCTCTCATGACTACATACATGTCAAAGGCCCATAGGATGAGAGTAGGTTATCACTTATCTTCAGCATGTTCTGTTCACTTACATTTGTTTCCCTAAAATCCACTCAACAGCAAGTATCCATCTAATTTTATTAAAAAAAAAAAACTTTTCCATGTTACTATTGTTACTTTTTGTTTTGTTTTCTTCAGTACACTGGTATGTTTTGTTTCCCCTTGTTTCAGGAAGCATCTTTTTTTGCCCCCTGGCTGGTAGAATTGTATTTCTTATTTTTTCAGTGCCTCTATTTTAAACCCAGCCGGTCTTTTGGGGAGACTTATCTTGTGTTTTCCTGATGATGTGTCTTGAACCTGTTGTTATAAGGATTTTGAGATATCAAGTAGAGCATTTCACTCTTATGCGCTGGACTTAACAGTGTAGCCTTCGATTGCTTTACACACTTGTTAATGCCTTCTGTTCTCTCTGTTATTTTTTGCTAAAGGCGTATGGACTTTTACAAATATATTGGGCCTTTCAACATTATCATTCATCCAAACAAATATTTTCCTGGGATGTACTTGAGATATGATCATTCTGGATTAACAAAATAGGATCTTCTTTGCTACTGTCTTAAATTATTTTTCCTGTTACAACTCTTCTCTTGTGTTGCTTAAATTATATTGCTAACTTATTTTCATTTTTTCCTGAATATATATTCTATTTTTTATTGAAGTATAGTAGATTTGCAATGTCATGTGTATATATATATATTCTATTTTTAAAGTGTATTACTTTGTTTTCTCCTTTGATAGGACATTATTATATTCAAAATAATCTTGTGTTTGCTGTCTCTTACAATCTCAGAAGAATTGAAAAAAGGAGGCTAGAAAGAGTAAACTAGCATTTAATCTAAATTATTTGGATGACAGAATACAAAACCTGGTGAATGAAGAAAACGCATTAGGGAGTGTTGATTTTTCAAGTAAAGAACCTGGTAGATGGTCTCATAAAATTTTATTTGCTAAGTTGATTAGATTAACTTGGCTAGAAACATGAAAAATTAGATTGAAAACTAGCCCAAGTAGCCTAAACCAGATAATAACATATATTCCATGTTGACGTAGGTAGCTTAGATTGTAGTCAGTAGACAAGCTCAGCTTTGGATTTTTATAGCTTTTTTTTTTATGAATGTCATGGATCTGGAAAT